TATATCCCCTTTGTTATTATTTTGCTTTTATTGTAATTGTTTTTGGTGTTTCTGTCATGAAATCTTTGCCCATTTCTATGCCATAAATGGTATTGCCTAGACTTTCTTATAGGGTGTTTATAGTTTTGGGTTTAACATTTAAGTATTTAATCAATCTAGAGTTAATTTTTGTATAAGGTGTAAGGAAGGGGTCCAGTTTCAATTTTCTGCATATGGTTAGCCAGTTCCCCAGCACCATTTATTAAACAGGGAATCCTTTCCCTATTGCTTGTTTTTGTTAGGTTTGTCAAAGATCAGATAGTTGTAGATGTGCAGTCTTATTTCTGAGTTCTCTATTCTGTTCCATTGGTCTATAGGTCCATTTTTGTACAAGTACCATGATGTTTTGGTTACTGTACCTTTGTAGTACAGTTTGAAGTCGAGTAGTATGATGCCTCCAGTTTTGTTCTTTTTGCTTAGGACTGTCTTAGATATTTGGGCTCTTTTTTGGTTCCATATAAATTTTTTAAATAGGTTCTTCCAATTCTGTGAAGAATGTCAATGGTAGTTTAATGAGAATACCCTCGAATCTATAAATTGCTTTGGTCAGTATGGCCGTTTTCACAATATTGATTCTTCCTATCAATGAGCATGGAATGTTTTTCCATTTGTTTGTGTCCTCTCTAACTTCCTTGTGCAGTGGGTTGTAGCTCTCCTTGAAATGTTCCTTCACTTCCCTTGTTAGCTGTATTCCTAGGTATTTTATTCTTTTTGTAACAATTGTAAATGGGAGTTCACTTATGATTAGTTCCTCTGCATGCCCGTTGTTGGAATATAGAAATGCTAGTGATTTTTGCAAATTGATTTTGTATCCTGAGATTTGCTAAAGTTGTTTATCAGCTTAAGAAGCTTTTGGGCTGAGATTATGGGGTTTTCTACATATAGGATCAAGTCATCTGCAAAGAAAGAAAATTTGACTTTTTCTCTTCCTATTTAGTACCATTTATTTTGTTCTCTTCCCTGACCACTCTGGCCAGAACTTCCAATAATATGCTGAATAAGAGTGGTGAGAGAGAGCATCTTTGTCTTGTGTTTATTTTCAAGTGGAATGCTTCCAGCTTTTTTCCATTTAGCATGATATTGGCTGTAGGTTTCTAATAGTATTCTCTTATTATTTTGTGGCATGCTCCTTCAGTATCCAGCTTATTGAGAGTTTTTAACATGAAGGGATGTTGAATTTTATCAAATACCTTTTCTGCATCTATTGAGATTATCATGTGTTTTTTGTCTTTATTTCTGTTTATGTGATGAATCACATTTATTGATTTGCATATGGGGATGAAACCAACTTGATTGTGGTCGATAAGCTTTTTGATGTACTGGTGAATTGAGTTTACCAGTTTTTACTGAGGGATGCTTTTGTTTATGTTCACCAGGGATACTGAACTGAAGTTATTTGTTGTTATTATATCTTTCCCAGGTTTTGGTATCAGGATGAATCTAGCCCCATAAAAAGAGATAGGGAGGAGTCTCTCCTTTTCAATTTTATGGAATAGTTTCAGTAGAAATGGCACCAGCTCTTCCTTGTACCTCTGGTAGAATTCAGTTGTGAATCTATCTGGTCCTGGGCTTGTTTTTGGTTGGTAGGCTATTACTGCCTCAATTTCAGAACTCATTACTGGTCTATTAGGGGTTAAATTTCTTCCTTGTTGTCATGGGACGGTGTATGATCCAGGAATTTATCCATTATTCTAGATATTCTAGTTTAAGTGCACAGAGGTGTTTATAGTATTCTCTGATGACTGTTATTTCTGTGGGGTAAGTGGGATGTCCCCATTATCATTTCTGATTGTGTCTATTGTCTATTTGATTATTTTCTCTTCCATCTAGCTAGTGGTTTATTTATTTTCAAAAAATCAGCCCCTGGTTTTGTTGAGGGTTTCATGTCTCTATATCCTTTAGTTCTGCTCTGATTTGGTTATTTCATGTATTCTCCTAGCTTTGTGTTTGCTCTTGGTTCTGTAGTTCTTTCTGTCGTGATGTTAGGTAGTTAATTTGAGCTCTTTCCAGCCTTTTGATGTGGACATTTAGTACTATAAATTTCCCTCAACACTGTTTTAGCTGAGTCTCAGAGATTCCAGTACTTTGTCTCTTTGTTCTCATTAGTTTCAAAGAACTTCTTGATTTCTGCCTTAATTTCATCACTTATCCTGGAGTCATTCAAGAGCAGTTTGTTCAATTTCCATGTAGTTGTGTGATTTTGAGTGAATTTCTTAATCTTGAGTTCTAATTTGATTTTGCTGTGGTCTGAGGACTGTTTGTTATGATTTCAGGTTTTGTTTCTTTTTCTTTTTCTTTCCTTTT